ATGGGTGTTGGGTTCTAGTCCCAGTTGCTCCTCTTCCAGTCCAGCTCTCTGCTGTGGCCCAGGAAGGCAGTGGAGGATGGCCCAGGTTCTTGGGTCCCTGTACCCACGTGGGAGACCAGGAGGAAGCACCTGGTTCCTGGCTTTGGATTGGTGCAGTGCCAGCCATGGTGGCCATTTGGGGGGTGAACCAACAGAAGGAAGACCTTTCTCTCTGTTTCTCTCTCTCACTCTGTAACTCTACCTGTCAAATAAATAAAAGAAAAAACCATTAAAGTGATCATATAGATAGGATTAAGTGTCTAGTAATAATAATAGATAGATTTAAAAAGGAGTGAATGCTCCAACATGGGAAGCAGTCCACAAAGCAGACTCATAGAATGACAACTGCTTTAAGTAGCACTCTGACCTCAGCATCAGCCTTTAAGGCATTCTGGTCTGGCTGAAAAGCCCAGGAGAGCACTTCAGGCATGGAAAACCAAGACATTGTAGCAAAAAATGTCCTACATGAAGGACCTTAGTGGGTGAGACCCCAGTGGAAAGAAGTGGTCATCAAAGAAGGAGGTACTTTTCTTTGAAAGGAGGACAGAACTTCCACTCTGCTTATGGCCTTGTTTACATACTGACAGAGTTTGTGGATTCAAAAGGCTTCCATAGCCTGGGCAGCTCATGTCAAGAGCCTCGGGTGATCACCGATGTACATAAGAGTGTTAATTGTTAAATTAACAATAGGAGTCACTGTGCACTAACTTCCTATGCAGGACCTTTATCCCCAAAGAGTTGTATTATAATTATATCTAAGTGCTTGCAAAAGATGTATCATTCTTGGGTGCTTCTTTAAAGTTGGTTAAGTTTCTAAAAAAAGTGAAATTACCTTCAAGATGCAATGACTTTCAACAGCCTTTGTCTCAGCTGTTAAGGAACAGGTTTTTTTTATGCAAATTGTTGAACTCTTAGTACAGAGTTGGTCTTCTGTGTATAAAGTTAATTGAAAATGGATCTTAGTGGAAATGGGACTAGGATTGGGAGAGGGAGGAGGAGGGGGTTGGGTGTGTGGGTGGGAGGGCGGGCGAGTATAATGGAAGGAATGCCTGTATTCCTCAGGTTGTACTTATGAAATGCATGAAGTTTGTATTCCTTAAATAAAAGGTTTCTTTGGGGGGAAAACTCTGTGTGTACACCCAGAGGAGGAAGTTGTCTTAAGTGTGATTAGATGTTGCTCCATATCTGTGGTGGGCAGTGTTGGCCAAGACAACAACTTAAAGTACAGAAATATTGTCTTTTTTTAAAAAAAGATTTATTTTTTACTTATTTGAAAAACAGAGTTACAGACAGAGGTGGAGCCAGAGAGAAAGGCCTTCCATCTGCTGGTTCACTCCCCAAATGACCACAATGGCCAGAGCTGAGCTGATCTGAAGCCAGGAGTCAGGAGTTTCTTTCAGGTCTCCCATGTGGGTGGGATCCAAGGACTTAGGCCATCTTCTACTGCTTTCCCAAGCTATAATAGAGAGATGGATCAGAAGTGGAGCACTTGGGACCTGAACTGGTGCCCATATGGGACGCTGGCACTGCAGGCCTGTGCTCTAACCCACTGTGCCATATTACTGGCCTGGCTAAATTTTGTCTTAATGCTACTACTACATTTTTCAAGTTAAAGAGGTTGCTCTCTGAATCCTTTTCTGGAGCATCATGATTGATGAAGAATTCATTTTTGTGTAACTTTCTTTTTTTTTTAAGATTTATTTTTTTGAAAGGCAGAGTTGAGAGAGAGAGAGAGAGAGAGAGAATCTTCTATCTGGTAGTTTAATCCCCAGTTGGCCAGAATGGCTGGAGCTGGGCCAATCTGAAGCTAAAAGCCAGGAGCTTCTTCTGGGTCTCCCATGTGGTGCAGCCAGGACTTGGTTTTCTGGTGCCACAGGTGGTGGCTTTCCCCACTTTGCCATGGCTCCAGCCCCTGTGTTACCTTCTTTAAGGAAAAGAAGGACCATAATATGTGGCCTTTCGTTATGGCTAAGTGATATATAAAATGTGAAATGACTTAATTTTCCTCTCCTTTCAGAGAGATCATAGTTTAATTGAAAAAACAGTTGAGTCATGTTTTCTCTGCTCATGGAACATAGGTACAGCCTAGTTTTATTCTGTGACTTGGTCTCTCACCACACGAGCTTGCGTCCTCTTCCCGCTGAGTGTATTGCTCACATTTGCATGTTGCAGAATGACCTTGCAGTGGATCCGGCTGAGTGAGTAGCTCGTCACTCTGAACTGTGTATGTGAGGATCTGTGAGGGCGTCTCATGATCAGGTCGCACCTGTCTTGTTGCCTGAGCCCAGTTACGCTTTCCTTTCATAGGGCTCAGTGGGATGACAGATCTTAGACTTGCAGGTTAGTGTATTTTGCTTGTGTGTTTGTTTGGAGTACTTTCAGAGTCTTGGTGAAACTTATGTGGAACATTCCAGCATGCTCTCTCGTCTCTGAGCCAACTAAAAGGAAAAGAGATTTGCCTCCTTGGGGTGTCACTATTGAATCCAGTGCTACTAGGAGCAAAGACATCAGAGGTTGCATTTTTCTTTTACAATTTTCTAACACAGACCCCTAAACAATCTAGTGTGTTTTTGATGGGAGTGAGATGAAAAGTGAAGTATCTGAAATCTCTACTAACTTTCACATGCTCAGCCTCCACATTGGGTCAGGCCCTCTGTACTTAATGGTGTCCCCGTCTGCACTTTTGAAAAAAGTCATACATGATCCACATACAATCCTGTTTCATGCACATCCCTCCTTTGTTTTATGTTATCTTTAAAAAGATTTACTTTATTTATTTGAAAGGCAGAGTTACAGAGAAAGACAGGGAGAGACACAGAGCTAGATCTTCGATTCAGTCCCCAGACAGCCAAAATGGTCAGGGTGGGGCCAACCTGAAGCCAGGAGCCAGGAGCGTCTTCTGGGTCTCTCACGTGGATGCAAGGGCCCAAGGACTTGGGTCATCTCCCACTGCTTTCCCAGGCACATTAACAGGGATCAAAAGTGGATTGGGCCGGTGCCGCGGATCACTAGGCTAATTCCTCCGCCTTGCGGCGCCGGCACACCGGGTTCTAGTCCTGGTCGGGGCGCCGGATTCTGTCCCGGTTGCCCCTCTTCCAGGCCAGCTCTCTGCTGTGGCCAGGGAGTGCAGTGGAGGATAGCCCAAGTCCTTGGGCCCTGCACTCCATGGGAGACCAGGGTAAGCATCTGGCTCCTGCCATCGGATCAGGGTAAGCACCTGGCTCTTGCCATCGGATCAGCGCGGTGCGCCGGCTGCAGCGCACTGGCTGCGGTGGCCATTGGAGGGTGAACCAATGGCAAAGGAAGCCCTTTCTCTGTCTCTCTCTCTCTCTCTCTCTCTCACTGTCCACTCTGCCTGTCACAAAAAAAAAAAAAAAAAAAAAAAAAAAAAAAAAGGTAGGTTGGCCAGGATTCAAACTAGCACCCAGATGGGACGCCAGTGTTGCAGACTGGCTTTACTCACTATGCCCGCCATCAGCCCTCTTCACAGTCACCTACACAAAATCCTGTGTCATTTAAAAATACTTTGTGCTACTGTAATTATTTATAGTACCTGTGGTTATTTGTTTAGTTAAGCCCAAGGAGAACAAGGACTGGGGGTACTTGGCTCACCACATACTTGATCCAGCAGTTAGTAAAGTATCTAACACTTAGAAGGCTTTGAGTCCTCTTTTTTCCAAAAGTTAGGAAAGTGAAGCAGTGGATAGAAGACCTTTCTCTCTGTCTCTTCTCTCTGTAACTCTACCTCTCAAGTAAATAAATATATCTTTAAAAATTATGTATATATATGCATGTATATATATGTATGTATGTATATGTATGTATGTATGTATGTATATATATATAAAAGATGGCAGGTGGTACACTGCATGCCACATCAGAGAGCCTGGGTTCAAGTTTTGGTTCCACTCCTGATTCCAGCTTTTGTTACTGTGCATCCTGGGAGGTGACAGCTGGGTTGAATTCTTAGCTTCCAGCTTTGGCCTAGCCCAATACTGGCCACTGGGGGCCTCTGGGGAGTGAACCAGCAGATGGGAAATCTCTCTCTCTCTCCCTCTCTCTCTCTTTCTCTCTCTGCCTCTTCAATAGATACATTTAAATAATAAATAATTTGATCCTGGTAAGAAACCACATAAAACTTACCATCATACTATTTTTAAATGTGCATTTCAGTGTTGTTAGGTGTGTTCATATTGTTATGCAATTAATTTCCAGAACTCTTTCAGCTTTCAAATAATAAATCTGATAAAAAAAAATTGCCTAGCCCCCCCCCCCCCCACCGATCTTTTAAGACTTTAGCATTGGGGCTGGCGCTGTGATTTAGAAGGTAAAGCGCTACCTGCAATGCCAGCATCCCAGGTGGACACCAGTTCAATTCCCGGCTGCTCCACTTCAGATCCAGCTCCCTGCTAGTGTGCCTGGGAAAGTGACAGAAGATGGCACAAGTGTTTTCAAAACTGAAGCTCCATACCAATTAAACACCTTCCCGTTCCCCTGGCCCCTCAGTTCCTGATAACCACAGTTCCACTTTCTGTTTCTATGCGTTTGACTCTTTTAGATACCTCACATAACCAGAATCATATAGTATTTGCCCCCCCCCCTTAAATAAAGGAAGAGTGTGTAGGGGGATGTGGGGAGGATGGAGGGAGAGAGAGGATCTTCCATCTGCTGGTTCACTCCCCAGATGTTCATAATTGGTCGGGCTGGGCCAGGCCAAAACCAGGAACCAGGTGCTTCATCCAGGTCTCCCACTTGGGTAGCAGGGGCCCAAGCACTTGGGCCGTCTTCTGCTGCCTTCCAGGTGGTAGAAGGGAAGCTGGATGGGAAGTGGAGCAGCAGAGACTCCAAATGGCACTCCCATATGGGATGCTGGCAGAACATGTATGTAGTGGCTTGACCTGCTGTGCCATAATGCTCACCCTACAGTATTTGTGAATTTGTACCTGGTTTATTTTACTTACCTCCAGGTTCATTCATACGATAGCATGTGTTCGAATTTCCTTCCTTCGTCAGACTGAATAGGTAGACCACATTTTGTTCATCCATTCTCCTGTCACTGAGCACTGGGTGAGTAATGCTGTTACAAACACAGGTGTGCAACACTCTTGATTTCTACTTTCAATTATTGCTTTTCCAATTCTTTTGTATATAGTGTATCCCTGGAGGTGGGGTTGTTGGGTCATAGGATAATTCTGTTTTTGATTTTTTGAGGAATGACTATACTGTTTTCCCCAACTTTTACTTTATGAACATTTGTTGACATTACAGTCTTTTTTTAAATTTATTTTTATTTGAAAGTCAAGTTATAGAGACAGAGGGGCAGACAGAGAGAGAGGTCTTCCATTTGCTGGTTCACTCCCCAAGTGGCTGCAATGGCTGGAGCTGGGCCAAACTGAAGCTAGGAGCCAGGATCTTCTTCTGGGTCTCCCATATGGGTGGCAGGAGCTCAAACACATGGGCTATCTTCCATTGCTTTCCCAGGCATGTTAGCAGGGAGCTGGATCTGAAATGCAGTAGCTGGGTATTGAACCGGTGTCCACATGGGATGCCAGCGTTGCAGGTAGCGCTTTACCTGCTAAACCACAGTGTTGGCCCCAATGCTACAGTCTTAAAAGATCAAGGATGGGGGTCAGTGCTGTGGTGCAGTGGGTTAACGCCCTGGCCTGAAGCGCTGGCATCCCATATGGGCACCGGTTCGAGACCCGGCTGCTCCACTTCCAATCCAACTCTCTGCTATGGCCTGGGAAAGCAGTGGAAGATGGCCCAAGTCCTTGGGCCCCTGCACCTGCGTGGGAGACCCAGAAGAAGCTCCTGGCTCCTGGCTTCGGATCAGTGCAGCTCAGGCCTTTCAGCCAATTGGGGAGTGAATCATCGGATGGAAGACTTCTGTCAACTCTTTTTTTTTTTTTTTTTTTTTGACAGGCAGAGTGGACAGTGAGAGAGAGAGAGACAGAGAGAAAGGTCTTCCTTTGCCGTTGGTTCACTCTCCAATGGCCGCCGCGGTCGGCGCACTGCGGCCGGCGCACCGCGCTGATCCGATGGCAGGAGCCAGGAGCCAGGTGCTTTTCCTGGTCTCCCATGGGGTGCAGGGCCCAAGCACCTGGGCCATCCTCCACTGCACTCCCTGGCCACAGCAGAGAGCTGGCCTGGGAGAGGGGCAACCGGGACAGAATCTGGTGCCCCGACCGGGACTAGAACCCGGTGTGCCGGCGCGCTAGTGAGATTAGCCTAGTGAGCCGCGGCGCCGGCCCTTTTTTTTTTTTTTTTCCTGTCAACTCTTTCAAATAAATAAATAAATATTAAAAAAAAGATCGAGGATGGAAAGGCTAGGCACATGTTTTTGTCAGATTTATTTATTTACTTGAGAGGCAGAATTACAAAAAGGGAAAGACATACAGAGGTCTTCCATCTGCTGGTTCACTCCCCAGGTGGCTGCAATGGCCAGTGCTGTGCCGATGCGAAGTCAGGAGCCAAGAGCTTCCTCTTGGTCTTCCCATGTGGCTGCAGGGTCCCAAACACTTGGTTCATTCTCCACTGCTTTCCTAGACCATGGCAGAGAGCTGTATTGGAAAGGAGCAGCCAGGACCCAAACCAGCGCCCACGTGGGATACTGGCACTGCAGCCAGAGGCTTAACCCACTATGCCACAGCGCCAGCCCAATTAGGACGATTTTAAGGATCCTAACTACATGGAGCACCAGCAGTATAGCACTGGCACATGCTTATCATCAAATATTTTCCCAGGTCTTCATTATGAACATTTTAAACATTTGAAAGAGAGAGGGAGGGAGAGACAGAGAAAGAGGTCTTCCATTTATCTGATGGTTGACTCCCCAGATGGCTGCAGTGGTCAGAGCTGGGCCAATCTGAAGCCAGGAGCCAGGAGCTTCTTCTGGGTCTTCCACACAGGTGCAGGGGCCTGAACACTTGGGTCATCCTCTATTGCTCTCCGAGGCCATAGCAGAGAGCTGGATGGGAAGAGGAGCAACCGGGACTCAAACTGTTGCCCATATGGGATTCTGGTGCTGCAGGCGGAGGCTCAGCCCATTAAGCCACAGCCTGCCCCACACATTCACTTTTAGCCTCCTGAGTTGCAATTCAGATTCATGACCTCTAGACCTGTATGACAACACATTTCTGTAATGTTCGGCCATCAAGTCTGTGGCAGTGGATTCTAGCAACATGAAGAAATGAACAGTTTGTTATGAGCTTCATTTGCTAGCTCAGGCTGTACTACAACTGGACTGACTCACACTGTGATGTCAGCAGAATTCCGCCTTCAAGCGCTGGTGCTCATTTTGAGGGCTGCCCCAAGGAAGCAACAGAGGAGCGGAGTTACTCAAATCGGGCTGTGTCTGCAGGCCCGGCCCCAAGGCCCTCTCCCACCTCTGCTAAGAAGTCTTGGACACGCCCCAGTGTCAGAATCTCGCACTGGGGTCGGCGCGGTGGGGCCTGTGCCAGTCGCCTGTGACGCCAGCATTCCATGTGAGTACGGTTCGAGTCCTGGCTGCTCCACTTCCAACACGTTTCCCTGCTAATGCGCCTGGGCAGGCAGTGGAGGACGGCCCAAGTCCTTGGGCCCCTGATTCCCGTGTGGAATTCCAGGCTCCTGCCTCTGGCCTGGCACAGTCTGCATCACTGCAGCAATTAGGGGAGTGAACCAGCAGGTGGAGGCTCTCTCTCTCTCTCTCTCTCTGTAGGGAACCAGCAGGTGGAAGCTCTCTCTCTCTGTCTCTGTCTCTGTAGTGAACCAGCAGGTGGAGGCTCCCTCCCTCCCTCCCTCTCTCTCTCTCTCTCTCTCTCTCTCTCTCTCTCTCTCTCTGTAGTGAACCAGCAGGGGGGGCTCTCTCTCTCTGTAGTGAACCAGCAGGGGGGGCTCTCTCTCTCTCTCTCTCTGTAGTGAAGGGCTCTCTCTCTCTCTCTCTCTGTAGTGAACCAGCAGGTGGAAGCTCTCTCTCTCTCTGTAGTGAACCAGCAGGTGGAGGCTCGCTCTCGCTCTCTCTCTCCCTCTCCCTCTCCCTCTCCCCCCTCCCCCTCCCTCCCTCTCCCTCCCTCTCCCTCCCTCACCCTCTCTCTCCCTCTCTCTCCTTCTCTCTCTCTCTCTCTCTCTCTCTCTGTAACTCTCCCTTTCAAGTTAATAATTTAGAAACCAACCAACCAACCGGAGTGAGGTGGCCTGTCCTCCTGGGGTCTGTGGGCGGGACTTGGTGGGGGCTTTCCTCAGGGACTGGGGCAAGGGGGGAGGACGGGAGCAGCTGCCCTTGACCCTGTCCAGTGGCAGAGGAGCCGGCCTGGCCGTGAGCCCTGGCCGGTCCAGCGGCAGAAGTCCCGGAGCAGAGGCGGGCTCCCGTCCTTCGCTTTATTCTGGTTGGTTCATCGGTCACCTCCTAGCAGGATGCCCTTTCGTGGACAGAATCCATCCCGCTGTTATTAAATGCCTGCACGTCAGGTTCCCTCGCAACAAAGTTGTGGACCCACGACTTCGTGCACCATTTTGGGCAGGAACTAGTTCCCACAATGCAACCGTGGCTAAACGTCTTTCAGTTGATCCCCCGTGCGTGAATGTGAGTGGAGATGCTTAAACTGCAAAGCCTGATGTCCAAAATTATACTACAGGCAGATAACCAGCGCCTTCCCATCAATAAACTTATTTTTCGGGACCAGCGCTGTGGCGAAGTTGGCTAGGCCAGGGCCTTTTCCAGTCACCTGCTACTACGAGGTCTTTCACTTAAAGTTTACATTTAGGAATCAACGTGAGTCAACTTGGGGAAAGTATTAATTAAATGACATAACTGGCTCCCAGACAGCGACAACCAACAGGTCCACACTGCGTCAGCGCGAGCGGTCGGTGCCTACGGAAGCCCGGAAGGCCAAGGGAGCGGTGGGACCGTATCTACCGCTCTCTGCACTCGGGCGTACCGCGAAAGATGGCTCGCCTCGGCGCAGTGCGCACGCGCGCCGCCGCGGGCCTCAGCGCGCAGGCGCGGCCGCCGGCGTGGTGCCGGCTGGGCTGTGGCGGCGGCGAGCGCCAGGCATGAGCGCGGCGGAGGCCGACCGTTGGGCGTGGCTGCTGGTGCTCAGCTTCGTGTTCGGGTGCAATGTCCTTCGGATCCTCCTCCCGTCCTTCTCCTCCTTCGTAAGTGGCTGCCTGGCCTTCCAGCGGCCGGCGTGGACGCCGGCTCCGGGCCCGGCGGTGCAGGGGGGACGTAGCGGGGGTCTCCCCGGGCCGCCTCGAGGCCGGGTCACCCGCGAGATGCTGCGTGTCGTTCCCGCGGACGAGCTGCGGGGTTTTCCCTCAGGTCCGGCGCTCGGGGTCCCCGGGGCGGGGGCGGAGCTGGGCCTCGCGGGACCCCGGGAGCCCCGGGTGGGCGGCAGGTGTAGACGCCGGCTCCGTGCCCGGCGGCGCAGGGGTGGCGTAGCGGGGGTCTCCCCGGGCCGCCTCCAGGCCGGGTTCACGGCGAGATGCTGCGGGGTTTCCCTCAGGTCCGGCGCTCGGGGTCCCCGGGGCGGGGCTGGGCCTCGCGGGACCCCGGGAGCCCCGGGTGGGCGGCAGGTGTAGACGCCGGCTCCGTGCCCGGCGGCGCAGGGGTGGCGTAGCGGGGGTCTCCCCGGGCCGCCTCCAGGCCGGGTTCACGGCGAGATGCTGCGGGGTTTCCCTCAGGTCCGGCGCTCGGGGTCCCCGGGGCGGGGGCGGGGCGGGGCCTCGCCGGACCCCGGGAACCCCGGGTGGGCGGCGGGCGTGCAGCGACCCCTCCAGGGCCGGGAGCACGTCCCCCGCCGGGCTGGGCGATGACTGCTGTCCACGGGCCCGGGAGTCGCTGCCTGCGCCGGGTGAGGTCGCCGCCCCCTGGCCTGCAGAATTGGGTCTGTGCTTGGAGTCTGGCTCCCGGAGACGGCGAGGTGGGGATGGCGTCCTTGCTGGGCTCCTCCTCAGGGCGCCGGTGGGGCTGCGGGGCGGCGAGGGGCGCCCTCCGTGTGACCGCAGGGCGCTGGGGCGGCCTGGCCGCGGCCGGGCGCTCGGAGCCTGGGTGCCTGGGTTCCAGCGCT